AGAGACAACAAAGTTTATGTTGGTTTTGATGAATCAAAATGCTATGTTCAAGATTTTCAACAAAAGAGTCTTGTGGGGACTGGTAGTCAGGAAGGTGGCTTGTATTTTTTTTTATCATACTTTTAATAGTAAGTCTACTCCTTCTAATAATCAAAATATGGTTTGTTTTGTATCTACTCGTTTGTGGCACTGTCGTCTTGGACACCCATTGGATCAAGTTATAAAGGTCTTAAAAGATACTCTTAACATGGAAAATGATGGTTGTGGTCCTTGTGAGATTTGCCACAAGGCAAAACAAACTCGGGAAAAATTTGAGTCAAGTATCCACAAGTCTCAACAACTTGGTGAACTTGTTCACCTTGATGTTTGGGGACCTTATCATGTTCAGAGTAGAGAAGGTTTTAAGTTTTTTATAACTGTTGTGGATGATTTTACTCTTGCTTTTTTGGGTTTATCTTCTAAAAGGGAAACATGAAGTTCGTGAACCCATTGAAAATTTTTATAATCTTTTATACACTCAGTTTGGGAAAACTGTAAAAAGAATTAGGAGTGACAATGGTTCAGAATTCACAAATCAAAGATTAAGTGATTTTTTTAAGCAAAAGGGAATAATTCATCAAACGTCATGTGTCTATACACCCCCAACAATATGGGGTTGTTGAACATAAACACCGTCATTTACTAAATGTTGCTAGGGCTCTCATGTTTCAGGGAGGAGTTCCACTAAATATGCGGAGTGAGTGTATTCTCACATCTACATATCTAATAAATAGAACACCAACTTCTTTCCTAAATGGTAAGAGTCCCTATGACTGATTCCAACCAGTCCTCACTCATCTTAGAAGTTTTGGGTGTTTGTGTTTTGTCCATCTTCCTAATATCACAGGCAAATTTTCTCCAAAATCTAAAAAATGTATTTTGTTGGGTTATGCTGTTTCAAAAAAGGGATATAGACTTTATAGTCTAGACTCAAAAAGGATAACTGTGTCTCGTGATGTTAGATTTTATGAGAATGTTTTTCCTTTTAAGATGAGTACGGACAGGGGTGATGAATCAAATTCTCAAAAGCTAAGCAATTTGAATTTCTTTGATCTTGTGAATAGTTCATCTAACAATCTTGATAACCTTCCTCCCAATGATGAATGTTGAAACCAGTCTGCTGATGAGAATTCTCATCAGTCTCTTTCTGATCAAAGTAACCAGAATGGTTTAAGTAGTCCATCTAGAGTTGCCAGTAGGCAGTCGCTTGGTAGCTCGAATTATCAGTCTAGTCAAGGTCCCTCTCAAGAGGACAATCTCAATAGAGTTACCAGCTAGCAGCCTCTGAGTAGCTCTGAAGTGACTACCAGCTCTTCTGATGATATTAATAGAAATAATAATGAAATCACTTTAGGTCTCATCTCTGAGGATAGTTCTACTCAAACTCAATCTTTTGTTAGAAGGTCATCTAGATCTTCTAACTTTCCTCATAAATTTGATGATTTTGTGGTAGAAGGTAAGGTTAAAAATGGGATTGAACGTGTTGTGAATTATTCTTGTCTATCTTCTGAAAAAATTTGTTTTGTTTCAAACCTAAATAACTTTGTTGAACCAAAGTCTTTTAAAGAAGCTTGTAATGACATAAATTGGATAAATGTCATAAATGAGGAAATGGAAGCGTTACACAAAAATGGAACTTGATATATTATTGACTTGCCAAAAAGTAGGAAAGCTATCAGATGCAAATGGATTTACAAAATTAAGTATAAATCCACAGGGGAACTTGAAAGATATAAGGCAGCTAGACTATAGTCAACGTGAAGGTCTTGATTATGAAGAGACTTTCTCTCATGTTGTAAAAATGGTGACTGTGCGATGCATCATAGCTTTAGTTGTTCAATATAAGTGGCCTTTATGTCAGTTAGATGTCAATAATGTTTTCTTATATGGTAATTTGGTTGAAGATGTGTATGTGTGTTTACGTGAAGGTTACTAAAATTCAAATGATACACATGTTGCAAACTTGTTAATCTTTATATGGTTTAAAACAAGCGTCTCGTCAGTGGTATGCTAAGTTATCTTCTTGTCTCATTGATCATGGTTTTGTTCAGAGTATTAGCGATTATTCTTTGTTTACAAAACATATTGGTAAAAATTTCATGGTTTTATTGCTCTATGTTGATGACATAGTTATAACTGGAAATTGTCTAAAAGAAATAAATATTTTTAAAGAATACTTAAAAAGTAATTTTGAATCAAAAACTTGGGAAATCTCAAGTTTTCTTAGGAATTGAAGTTTTAGAGTGTTTTGATGGAATCTGTATGTCACAGAGAAAATATTGTCTTGAATTATTAAATAACTTTGGATATCTAGGGTGTAAGCCCTGTAATACCCCTATGGACATGAATCTTTACTGATTCTAGCAATCCTAAAGATCATCCTTTATCTGACTGTTCTGGTTATCAAAGGTTAATAGGAAGATTAATCTATTGGCTTGCTACTCGTCCTGATATTCCTTTTTCTGTTCATTGTCTTAGTCAGCTTATGCATGCTCCTAGGAAGTCTCACCTTAATCTTGCTTTTAGAATTCTCGGATATTTGAAATTCTCTCCTGGAAAAGGGATTAATTTTACAAGGTCAGAATCTTTTTGTCTAAGTAGTTATGTTGATGTTGATTGGGGTAAGTGTTTGTCTACTAAACGCTATGTTACTGGATATTGTTTATTTCTTGAAATACTTTAATTTCTTGAAAAAGCAAGAAACAAAATACAGTTTCTCGCTCTTCATATGAATCAGAATATAGAGCTATGGCAATTGTATCTTGTGAAATCATATGGGTTCTTAAGATTTTAACAGACTTTAAAATAAGCAATCTTCTTCCTGTTAGTTTGTATTGTGATAATAAATATGCAATACAAATTGCTAATAATCCTGTTTTACATGAAAGAACTAAACATATTGAGATTGATATTCATCGTGTTCGTGAGCAAATCAGTAAAGGAGTTTTAAAGATTGAAAAATATCTTTCTTCTGAACAGACTGTAGATATCTTCACAAAAGCCCTTAGTGTTAATCATCACAATTACTTGTGTTCAAAATTAAAAATGATTAATATGTTTAAGCGTCAATATTGAGGGCGGGTGTTAAAATTATATTTGTTAATACCAATCTTGACTTATTTGTTGTATCTGTTTTGATAGGATATTGTCAGTCAAGGGTAAAAGATGTCAAAGTCGAATTGTTAAAATTTGTAGCTGTTTCAGAAGGACTGCGCCTCATGTTTCAAGATTCTCCAAGGGTAGCGGAGTATTTCTCCCAATGTTCAAGCACCATTTATGTCATTTTTTGGAAGATATTTAAAGTTGCATTCTCGATCATTCTTCATCAGATTTTCATAAATTTTCTCTCAAGATTCTATAACTCTCTCAACAAATCTCTATTTTTCTCTCTCTAGATCTAATCAATCTTTTTGTTTGTTCTATCTAGATTTAAAATGTATTTCTTTTAGATCTTAAGTTTAGGCTAGATTCATAACAGTTTTGTGTGTAGATTGTTTAGATTCATATTTGTTCTACTTCTGTTGTTAATAAATAAAGATTTTTCATGTTTTTAAACCATTTTAACATGGTATCAGAGCTGATTGTTCGATCGGTTTTTGTTTTTGTTTGCTGAAAATTTGTCTGTTGCGTTTTTGGTTTGCAAAGAAACCAAGTAAAGGATCGTTAGGGTTTTGTTTTTTGGTTACGAGATCTTCATCTCGTTAACCTACCCTAAGTGATATTCGGTTGTGGTTATCTTTGTTGGCTCATGTTCTTGGAGGTTCATAAGAAATACAGATTCATTCTCTCCATTCTATTATTGTTTTCTTTCGGTTATCCGATAACAGATTTGTCATTATTCATTCATTTCATTTTGTATTTTCTCTTAACTCTCACTAGCTCCTTCTTCTTCTTAGCTAAACCGGCTAAGTTCAAGAGGTGTGATTAGGGTTTATGTTTGTAATCTGTTGATACACAAAGAAATAAAATCATTTGTTTATCCTTTTGTACAATTAACATGAAGTAAATTGGAAGATTATAGATTTTTATATTCATGTATTACAGCTAAGGGTGATCCAAAGCTCCAACAGTAGGAGTGCAGTTGGTAACTTAGGGGATGACCACAATATGTTTGTGAACACAAGAGAACTTCCTGAAGCTTGCAAAATTCGAAGTTTTCCGATTTGAAAATGGCTATAATTTAGTCAAGATCGCTCTTGGATAACGGAGTTTTTGAGAGGGGTTCTTAGGTTGGGTCAACAAAACACATTCACCCCTTCAAGAAGTCGTGTTGGAATTGCTAACCCACATCGTGCACAACTTTTGAAGTCACCTAAGCTACATTTTACGTGATTCAGAAGACGACTTGGAATTTATGTAGGAAATCCCATACATAATTTGGGGGAGAGGTCGCTTAGGAAATCCCATGTGTATTTTGGTACCCTTGGCAAAGGTTTTGAAAGACAATATAAACATCAAGGGTTGGGAAAGACAAATCATTGAAGGTCATGTTCCTAAATTTCCCACATTTGAAGTTTAAATCAACAACATTTCATGCATATTGAAGCGAGTCTCTAGTCGCCTTTCAAGTACTTGTTAACAATATATATTTGTCCCAAACTCCGTAAAACCTCATCACTTGTTGGTTGGTCTATCTTTAGGTTTGTTTGCTAAATATCCGAACGCGAGTGCAACACATTTGAAAGCAGCTTCTTCAGTGTAAGACGTGGATCTATTACTTTACTTAGTCCTCCTTTATGAGCTAGGATTGGACTTGTCCGGACTACAAAACTACATTTTGCTTATTAGGCCGATTGGGATCCATTGCCCTTCCGGCAACACTACTCCTGGATTCACACGTCACTTCTCACATTTAAATAATGTTTGCAATCACAAAACTAATGAGGTTAAGTTATCAAACCGCTACACTTGTTTTCTTTTGTTGGAAACAAACCATTCGTTGTCTTAAAAATATAGAATGTGGACCAAAAGTGACAAGCACGATGTTCTTATAATATTTACATTTCCACAATTTATTTGAAAATGTCATTCTTATGATTTACGAAGTAACGAAAAGCTAAGTAAAATTGTGATTGCTCATTCAAAAATCACCTATGCACGACTTCTCAACATAACTTCATTCTACAGTAACATACCTGTCTCACAATAATTTGGGTCCACATAACATTAGGTACCTATGACACGTGTTTCCCCGTATTCATGACCAAATTTCGCCAATCCGAAATCCCCCAATTTTGCATTAAAATCCTGGAATAGGAAGTGTAAAAATATATGGTTAACTTCAATGGCATAAGATATTGAAGTGGTTTGATCACCATCATAAATCATGAATAGCTTGATATAGCAATATATCATAATTTTTAACACCACGACATATGATTTGATCTCTTGACAAATGCAAATAAGCAAGTGCACAAGCTACATCATTATGCTAAGTCGTGTTTCCCATGAATGTAGCTCTGCAAAATTATTCATGTCACAAAGCTCCTTCATTGCAATAATTCAACTTTTGGGTAAAAGCAATCCAACAATAATTTTAGAGAGATTCAAGTATGGGCATAAAAAGCAATCAAAACTTGGGTTTTCCATGTACTTGTAAGCAAGCACTTATTCATGTTCTTTGTCATTACAATATACCAAGAGGTTAATGATATTTCTACGAGCCAACTGTCCTAGCACTCTCAACTCTGCCTGATGTCACAATTTTTAGCTATGTTTAGCTAAGAGATTGATAAAGCATAATTAATTCTAGTATTGTTCTACCAAACAGATTGACTCATTGGATCACAAAATAAAAGGCATAATGAAGATAATGAACATATGCCCGAGTCGAGTATCAACCATAAAATATTCACGTCTCCTTTGAAATGTCCTTTCCCATGAAGTTTCATATTACCTGAGCCTCTACGTGTTAGCGGAACCCAGATATGAATTGTTTATAAGATGCTGCTAGAGGTTTCAGGTCCGCACTTGAGAGTAGCTTCAAGGGATACTCGCTATAGCAAGACCTAAGATTCATGACTAACCTCAGCTTTACTTCTAAGGTGATCAAACTCAGGCCTCCGTTATGCTGAGATCAGTCTTACTACAGTATATTCAACCTGAATCATATATCATATCATCTCTCACTCCTTTTTAATACAGACCTTGTAGTTTGAACTTAATTTAGACTTCATTAGAGAAATGGTCCACCACAAACTTCAAGTACAAGCATCATCTATTTTTCTAATATTTGTCATGATATTAGACCGTAATGAGTAAATGTAAGATGAATTAATGTGAGGAACAAGATCTAGACTCCAGGAAATATTGATCATAGACATAAGTTGAATATGCAGTTATTGGAACTTACCTGCCATGCCATTCATCAGATCCTTGCCAACTATGCTTCATCAAGCCTCTTTAACAGCTCCAGCAATTCCAGCACCAGGTGTTGAAGGGGCGAACATGTACTGCAACCAACCGAACCCAACTCGAAGAATGCCTTTACAAAACCTCCCATAACCAAGAGTTGATCATTAGTGAAGTTACTTGTAACCCTATTGAAATAAGCAAACTTAAATTCTTCTAAACTTTGAATTCTGTAATCTGCAGGAACTTCTCTTCTGTCCACAAACATATTACCAGCAGTTCTCCTGTTGCCCTTGGTATTACTTGATACTTGATAACTTAAGTATAGATTGTTTCATGAGAAGTCATATTCTCTTATAATAAGAAAGCCAAGGGAATACATTATTAGAATTCTTTCAGTGCACCCAGTAATCTTGAAAGAAAAAGTGTGGTGAAGAAGGCTAAAACATTGCACCAATTTATAATAGTGTAGAGAACATAAAAACAGTATCAAAGTATGATGGAGACCTTCAAATAAAGTACCCAAAGTACAGATTAAACTAAAGACACATGATGGTGGAACAAGGAGCAAGAAATTTTAACAAAGAAACCAAGGGATGCTGTAAAACTCTTAGATGGTCATAAGATTTTGAACATAGAGATGAACAAACTAGACAACATAATCTATGGAAGTAACAAGAGACGTGGACACAGAAGAGTAAGAGAGCATACACATGAGAATAAGAGGAACTATATAAGAAAGTAGGAACAGAAGAGGAGCTAATGATGTATGCAAGTTGGCTCAGATAAGGTAAGAAATTACAGAAACAATGAAACTAAGGAACAAGTGGATACTCGAAACAGCGTGAACTATTAAATGATCACGGCATCACGCTGAGTGCAAAATGAAACTACAGAAACATGTTATTGAGCAAGTTAAGAGTTGAGACTAAGGGGTCGTTTACCAAACGCTTACGGGGCAAGCGCTTATCCGGTATCACTTATCTTACCGGGTGAGCATTACAAGAACTGGAATCTTACTGGTAAGCGCTTGCCGGGTAAAAAAAGCTCATCAACAATCCATTCTAATGGCCAATAATGTTACCCAACAACGTAAGTGCGGATGGTGACTCTTGCAGGTAAAGCACTTACCCGCTAAGCGTTTGGTAAATGGCCCCTAAGGTACTTGAAAACCAGTTTTGCTTGGTTCTAGGAACATCCATAGCAACAGGGACTTATTCTTAAATATCTGTGGATGTAAAAGGATCTTACATGGTGTTTATCAATCTTCCAAAGAGTTGTAGGGTACCAATGGAAGTGATGCGAGAAGTGCTTGCAGTGTAGGGGAATGTGAGTAAATAAATCCTATTACATGTTAACAACTGGAAAAATATTTTTCCTATTACCCAAGGTTCAAAAAGGCATAAGGCATAGCGTGGCGGCGAGTTCAAGCCTCAAGCCTTACACGCCACGGCGAGGACGCGGCGTTTTTCAAGGGGTGACATAAGGCGACAAATTTGTATGTCATATATTGAATTATGTATATAGATATATGTTTTCTATATATTATCTAATCAGATAATGATCTTAAAAAATAGTACATTCATATTAGAAGAAGAAAAATCATATAGATTATTATTATAAAAATATGTTTTTGATTAAATATTTAAAAATATAACTTGGAAAAGTAATTTTACAACTTCAATTTAACCGTAAGTCTGTAACGTCTATGAATTTGTGAAACTGTGAGTGATGTGATTATTTAGATCTATAAAAATGTAAAATCTAAGAAGTTAAAAGTATAAAAACACGAAAGATAAAAAATAAAAAAAAATTGAAAAAAAATCACATGTTACAAAAAACGCACGCCACGGGGCACCTCAAGACGCCATGGCATGAGCCACGCCTAACAGAAACGCTATGGGCCATTTTGTAACGGCAGAGACGCATCTTGCGCCATATCGTGCCATGGCGCACCTTTTTGAACACTGCTATTACGACAGTTTAGACCAAAGATTAGCATGGAGTCTTTATCGTTTTACTTTAGTTATGGGTGAACTCACGGATGACATGCAAGATAGCACACAATGGTGCATGATTCTAACCACTATCATGTACTGGTGAGACTAAGCAAGATGATAGACCTAAGGTGGGGCAAGAATAAAAGAAATTAAAATCTGCAGGTCTGGATTAAGCTTGTTTAAAACATAGTACATTAAGTGAAACTTTAGCGTTGTTGATAAGTAAGCATGCTTTGCAGTTTGCAAAAAGTAGTTAGAAAAGATATATTCTGTTAGTTTGAATTGGTATTATGAAGATGAAGATACTATAACAGCAAAGTGGATTAATGATGACTTGACAGCCTTTCTAGTTGGTCCTAAATGAGGCAATAATGGCAACTATGACTTCAGGAGAATAACGTTGGGCCATCAAAGTATGTACATAAAACGATTGTAGTAGAAATTTGGATGCTAAAATAGACGTTGGGCCAGACAAGAAGGAATAGGATTAGATATAAAGATATACAAGAGAAGGTTGGAGTGGCAATGGTTGAGAATAGCTGACATAACATAACTTAAGATGTTTTATTCATATCCAATACAGACCTTTGTACGTAGTAGATAGAACAGAAAATAGTATAAAAGGAGATCATTCAGAGAGGCAAAAGTTGGGCAAGACTAAAGGTGGAGAATTAATGAAGAGTGCTGTAAGGGAGCCGAATATATCAAAGGACTTTGTGTTAGAGTGGAAGAACCTCATTCATCTTCCAAAACAAACATTCCCCTCTTAAAAAAATTCTTTTGGCTTCCACCTCTTTCAAATTTCTTTCGGGACAATTTATCCTACCTCAACTGGTAGGGCATGAAACAGTTTTGTTGTAAGATACACTGAATATACATGGTTTACATTTCTATATGGAAAGAAAATTATTATTATGCTAACTGCTTATAACTTATGTAAATTAAAAAAAAAAAACAATGTAGTTCCGAAGAGCTTAAATAAGTTGGGCTGAACATATGAAGAGGCCAATAAATACCATCTGAAATGGAAAGAAATCTATCATCTGATTGATGCAACTAAATAACTAGTAGTACCCTTGTTCTTTTTAATGCTGAGAGATGGCATTTCAATGTCTTCATTGAAATTCTGCTATTATATGTGAAGATGATCACACACAAATTCACAGAATATTACATGCAATTCTAGAGGAGCTTAAAATACCAGAGTTTTCTCCTTTGAAGGGAAAGGGAATCATACCAGCCATTCTACCAAATATTATCATGTCTGCATTTTGCAATGAATTACTGAATTTCTCAGGTAAGGTCAGTGTACAGGCCACAACCTGTGTATGGTAGAGCTGTTTTGGATTGCCATGCAAACATCTCTCTGCAATTAGAACAAACTGCTTCAAACATTTTGGGGATATTTGACCCCTTATACCAGAACCAATGATATGCTTTAGATTGTCTTCTTCAATAAATTCTTAAGCCTATCTTGCTAAACTCCAGCAGTCCACATCAAGAGTGTATCCACTACATGCTTCCAACAAAGCACTTCCAAGAAAATGACCGCAAATTTTGATTGGGGTTATACATCGTGATRTCAARAGCTCAAATATTTTGTTAAATGAAAGTTGGGCAGCAAAAACTTCCGGACTTTGGKTTGTCAAGGCCAACTAATCAGCCATCCACTTATATCAAGACAATGATAAAGGTACTTTTGGGTATCTGGATCCCAACTATTACACAACTCGAAAGCTGACAAGTAAGTCTAATGTGTTCAGTGTTAGGCAGAGTGGCATACACATCAGATTTTCTGCTTTCCAGTTGCATAATAATCAAGATCTGGGTACCCAAAAGTACCTTTAACAAGTGTGTCGATACAAATTGATAGTTTATTCGTTGGGCCTATTTTGAACAAACCCCAAGTCCTATATGTTGTTGCCCAACTTCTATATTATATAATATTAATATCTAAGCTCTTGACATCACGATGTATAACCCCAACCCGAATCCCTGTACCAATGTAAAGGTAGTGTAACCCATGACCAGCAGCTATGCAGATGTTGAGTTGCTGAAGCCAAGAAAGAGGGGTACCAAGTTTATGGAGATAATCTTCAAGTGTTCCATTGGGCATATATTCATAAACAGGCATCTCTCTTTTCCATGATTACAATAGCCAGGCAAAGACACAAGATTAGGGTGCCGCAACTCTAGAAAGCACCTATGTTCCATTTTGTATTTCAAACATAGTCTCTTGGTATGAAATATTATATGGCTTGTATATAAATGTACCAAATCCTGCTACTCATGTAGGTACTTGATGCCCATTGCTAACAGAGCTTCTATAACAACACTGTCACTTTTCATGCTAAAAATGACATGTAAAATTCAAATCATCATCGTTAAAGAAACTCGCTTGAACWAAGTAGAGGTATACACTCCACCTGCATGTGAAAGAATTGAAAATTATTAAGTTGTGTCTTTCTTCCATAACAAGCAAACAGAAGACGGTCAACAGAACTTAGATAGGCGAACTAAAATCCATAAAGTATCATTGTTATTGACACATTAATATATATATATATATATATATATGGTTTTGTTCAATAGAAGTGAATAAGGAAGTGCTAAATGTCCAAGAGTTTTGTGTCTATGAATGATGTTGAATGAAAATCTAGAGAAAAAACTATGTTTCAAGCCACATCCACACAGAGACGATATACTCTAAAAGCTATGTTGTTAATTGCGGTGCAATAGCGGTTATCAGTCCTAAGCAAAATWGTGGTGAAAATTGYGGYTTCGACAATARCRGCGCAMTTTACCGCTATTTCACCGATATTGAGGTAAATAGCGATCTGCTATACCGATATTCTCAGTTGGACCTGTTYTGAATCTAATGCTTACATTTTTGTCGTTTTTGGGCATTCATTTTGACTTGGGCTTTTATTTTGATTTGGGCCCTTATTTTATTTTAATCCATTAACCATCAACGAATATCATCCAGGCTCCAGCATGCGGTTTAGAAATTCTTAGAATCTTAGGTTTTAATTTCTTTCTATCATTGTTGTTAGTCAACCTTCTTCGACACTGTGAGTTTTCTATCATCGTTTATGAACACGTTTCCTATTTTGTTTTGTGAAACTTGTTTAAGTTGATGTTTTGATGTTGACACTATATTTTTAATTAATGCATATAATATGTTCATGTATGCATATATATATATATATATATATATATATATCTATACTACATATATAACCATTTAAGACAAAGTCTTAAGTACAAGTTACTAAGCTTAAGTTACAACTATTTTATGCAAGATTTTTAAAAAACTCTTAATTACAAGTCATCAAGCATGGGGTACAAGCTTTTATGCATTGAGTGGTAAATATTCAGACTTCTTTTTCTCTCCTCTTCCTTTTCTAGAAAAATCCTTCCCTGCCAAATCATTTTGGGTAAGGTCAAAATTGCTTTCTCTTTTCTTCTTCTTTTCCAGCTTCTTGTTGATGAATGTTCCTGTGCCAAACCCAAATCAGTAAGTTCAACGTATGATTTCTTCAATTACTGCAAATTTTGCACAAATGGGTGGTTCCCAAGAATACTTCATCGATGCATATAACCAAACTTCGAAGGTTTTGATTTCACTCCCGTCGTACGTCCCAAGCCCCAAGACGTCGATTCGATTTTCCTTAAGACGTCGATTCAATCTCCAAGGTGAGATTCATCGTTCAAAACCACAATGTTATACGGTTGGGGTTCCACTCGATTCTTGCTTCCATCTCCACTCCTGATTCGATTCTCGATTCTCGATTCAATCTCCAAGGTATGTTGATGACATTTTAACTTCCTTTCTCTTCTCTTCAATTTAACTGATTCTTTCAAAAATTCAAAAGGTTTCATGTTTTCTGTTAACGATTGGTTGAAATTATGTGCCAATTGCAGAGATATTGGAATATACATAAGTAATTTTCTTCATCTCCATCTCGATCGTTTCGAGAAACTAGGGATTTCATTCACTGATTATGTAAGTAATTTTTTGTACAATTTGGGGTTTCAGTTATAATTTGTGTGCTTGATGTCAACAACATCATAGAAATGCTTATATTTGTTATTGATGTTTAACATCACAAAATGCATAAATTTGTGCTTGATATCAACAATTTCAGAATATGTCTACTACATGTTTGATGAAATGCTTAAGGGAAATTCGTCTACTACAAAGTGTAGTTCACATGTGCATTTTTGGGTCTACCTTTTACTATGTTGTTGTATTAGTGATCATTCTTTTTAATGTGCTTTGTTTGGAGAAGCAAACACCCTTTATCGTTTGTTCTTATTCGATTCATTTTTTTTAAGTTAATGGCAACAATTTGTGTTCCGTTGATGTACAATTTAAATCAGGTGGTTAGTCACGTGTAAAGCTAYAAGCTTAAGGAGATACATCTTGCTGTTATTTTATGTGCCAAGCCTCTGAAATAGACGAGTATTTATGTCATATTCGCACACATCAACACCTTTCTCAACAAATGACTGATTTGTATAAGCTTCACAAACTGTCTTCGTAAAGTTTAACCTATTCATCATGCTCTATTTATTATATATTTCTTGCTTGCTTGATTGGTTGCAAATGTGTGCACTTGGCTAAACTTAAGTGCTATTTTTTCTTTTCCATCAGGTTACGTATCACTTCTTTCACTGGAAGAAGGGAACACCCTTTGCTGATGACCAAGGCATCCACAACTGGTTGACTTGGTGGGAGCAAATTGATAGCGGCAAACAGCTCAYTTGCAACAGGAAGTTTCTAACTGTTGTACCTGTGGTGCTGTAAGTAATCTGAGTTTCTTAAACCTATAAGCAGGGTCTAGAAGCTCATATCATCACTGTTATTKTTTAGTATATCTGCGTATTGAATTTTGTGTTTCTGTTTTTCTTTCGATGAAGCGGATGGAACCCCTTGGAAAAATTCATATTGATTTTTGTATGAGATATTTTGCTCTATGCATAATTGTAACTTGTAAGGTTGGCTTGCAAAAGAAATGATTTAAAGGAATCTGGACCAGGCGTTTGACAATTAATAAAGTGCCCAACAAATGCGTATTGCTTTGGAGTTGATGCAGGACTGTTTATTGAAAGATAATTGATGTGGGAAAATAGAAACAAATGGTGTAGGAGAAGGAACCGTTATCTTTTCATGAGAACGGCCATAAGATCCTAGCTCACACCATAACTTATGTTATTCTGTGATTACATCAGTATTGTTAAGAGAAGAACACGAAACTGTAGATCTGGTAGAACTAAAAAATTCTGTCACTTACTATACAAATAAAGGTGAAGGGAACATATTGTAGAAAAAATATAATTATAAGAAATATATCTTATTAGGAAGTAAATAAATATTGATTTATTTCCTATCGTATTACTTGATCGGAGTTGATCCCTTGCTTACGTCCTGATCATGGAGGTTAGGAAATCATTTGGTGCTATTGTGTAATGATGCTTTCAATTATCTACTTATGTCATTGTTGTCCACCACATTGAAGATTTAACTGATATTTTTACCATGATTTTTTGTTAATATACTTTGGTTGGTCAAATTGGACAAAAGAAGTTTTTAATTTATTATGGATTAAAGGTGCTTAGAGCAAGATACCTTTACCAATCTCTAACGCATGGGTCTTTTTCAAGCCTTTATAATGTTACCCCACATTGAATACACAAAACGTGGCCAATGGAAACATTTCCCCATCGGTAAAATAGCAGAACTCTTTTCTGTTTCAATATAATGGAAACACGAGTAATATTATAGCTATGGACAAACATTTACATTAAAATCTTCAACTCTGTTCACTCAAGTGTTTGGAACTAGAACTGATGCATATAGTTGATTTATTTTGTCAAAGAAGACATGAATTTTTATTGATATATATAGTTGTTAAAAGCATCATAATAAGGTTTTTGATTGTGGTTGAGAATTGAGATGTCATTGTTTCCTGTTCTGTTCAGGAAGAACATTTTACTTTTCTTTTCCTTTCTACGTCATACTGAGCTCTGGATCACACAAGAGAAGTTAATATGTTTTACTTTCTTCATTGAAACTCTTTTTAGTTAGTTGTTTGTTAAGAAAGGAGAGTTCCTTGAAAAGGTTTTCATCCACATGAGATGAAAGTCAACTGCCACTATCAAGATCTTCCACTGGTCTAATTTGGATCACACTTAGGGGCCGTTTATCAAACACTTACCCTGTAAGTGCTTACCGGTAAGATTTAACACTATTATGTACTTACCGGGTAAGATTTTAGTTCAACAAAACTACATAGTATACAACAATTTACCTGATAAGCGCTTACTGTGGTAAGAGTCGTCGTCCTTACTTACTGGGTAAGGCTTTTGATCCTTGTCTCACTCTTACCGGGTAAAATTCTTGGTCCTTACCATATTCATCCGGTGAGGTAATGTTACTTGATAAGCGCTTACCCAGGTAAACGTTTGGTAAATGGCCCCTTATACTTGAATTTAATTTCTCACAGGTAGAAGAATGAATAGATGAAGGTTTGGCATTGGCAACTTTTTTCAAATGGGACTCCATCAAAACTGATTCACCAGGTGGCTCTTCCATTAGACTTTAGAAAAGAAAAACCAAGAGAAAAATGGTAAAGAAACCCCCCCCCCAAAGGTAACAGCTTTCGATCTTACACTTTCGATCCCATAGATAACAGCTTCGTGTTGGTCTCTTATCAGATCCTGTCACATCCTACACTTTCGATCCCACAGATAACTTCGTTGTTCAACTACGGTGTGCTTAGCGAGATCAAAGGTCTTCAGGCACAGGTATTACTGTTTTGGTTGAATATTGATGAAATCAGAGTTGATGTGCCGGCTACCAGCAATGTCTATTTCACTCTTGGATCTATCAGTCAGACGCTTGATATCAAACAGTTTCAGACGATTCACCCTTGAAGAGATATGYTGCTTGTGATCATGCCTCCAAACTTATCTCTCAGGTACTTATTTGTGATCACTGATCAAATTCACACTTCATATAAATTGTAATGACTCAACAATCTTATTATAAATCGATTGTTTAGATTTTTGGAGTTCTAATTTCTTCTTGTACTATTTTTTGTAGCTTCCAATACCGAAATGAAACATATCAGCATATAAAGTAATTCGGTTTCCATTCAAAATCGATAGCGGACAACTAAACAACGGAAGAATTGAGTTTTTTTATACCTTTTTAGATCATGATGTTGATCAAATTTTTACTTCATATGCTCTTTGATGTGATGGATTTTGGAATTTTGGGTTTTTTTCCATCTTAAGCTTCTTCTTCTTCCAATGTATAGACTTCATACACTGTTTTACCCTCCTCACCTTACACTTATTATCAGTACACCTCCCATTTATCATGATTCAAATCATTTATTTATATTTATTTATCTTCTGACATTGATTTGAATATGGATTGGTCATTGGTGTGTGAAGGATCCTTCTCCGATGGGGTTGGTGAATACACCCCTTTGACAACCAGAAATTGCAATTACCGTGAGTTAGAGCAGATAAACATCACTTGCACTTACCTCAATTAATCCCAAGGGTCTTGGAGAACTATCAGAAAAATCCCCAGTGCCTTGCTGTCATACAATTTTTTTCATTGATAGACTCTAATTGAAACCATAACTCATATTTATTCAAATTAAATTAATATGTAAAGACCAAATGTAACTTACATCATCGTTAAATCTTCTCTAATAAAACCAGTGAAACTTCAAAATCGGTTAAATTCACGGTTCCCGCCGCATTGCGCGGGTACACAACTAGTATATATATATATATATATATATATATATAACTCTTAAGAAATGTTATATGAACCGCTATACCACCGTGATAACCGCTATTTCAAATATCTGTCCTGCCCACTACTTTGTATTTTGACCGTTGTAACAGCATAGTCTAAAAGTCTACTCCTGAACCTCAAAGTTAGTGGTTAATCCATATAAACCAACTAAACCTCCTCAACAAGTGTATTAACAAATGCATTCTTCATATATACCAACATGATGCCCCACTAGATACAAATACTTTTTTCAGCCATAATGCTACATGAACCAACGTTTCCTCATAATCATCATTTTGGTATTTAGCCTAGGGAGAAGAACAAGAAAAACAAATAATACTAAGGAGGCGTTTGGTTTGATGGAATAGTTTTGAGGGATTTGGATTTCGTGGAAGGATTTGGAATTTGAGGGATTGGATTTGGGATCTTTAGGGTGTTTGGTTTTAGGATTTGGAATGGAACTGGATTCCATTTTTTAAATAATAAAAACAAGTTATAAAGAATTATAAAAATAATTAAATTACCTTCTTATTAGTTGATTATTATCAAGCAAATGTTTTTAACATATTTTTAAACACTATAATAAACAAATCCTACGTAATCCCATGAAATCCCAACCACCACCATGGGATTTCAAAATCCTATGTTTGATGGATTTCAAAGAAATCCTAGGATTTCAAATCCGAGCAATCCTGCAAACCAAACACGATATTGGAATGTATTTGAATTCCAAATCCTCCCAAATCTCTTCCATTCCTACAACCAAAAGAACCCTAAGTTCCCACTAAAATCCAATAGTCTTTCTCTACTACCAACAATATCCCCAATTTTGTTTTTCTAATCTTGTGCTATACAATTTGGTCATATATATAGAAATTAAGTACTTTGGACTTACATGATTTCATTTCTCTAACCTAGCTTAAGAGAGGGCATTTCCTTAGCATAAGAGCCCTCTCACACATTCCTTGAAGAATAACCATCCACAACACATGAAGAAGAAGTAGTGAAATGGATGAAATTAAGAAAAAAAAAATTGAACTAATTTGCATTCTAATGCACTTTTGGGGTGGTTTGGCTATCGTTGAATGATTTGGTGCAGATTGATTAAGTGGTCACAATGATTAAGAGGCTCTGTGTAATTTAGTGCTGAATGGAAGTGTTCTGAATAGGTAGTTTGGATGACAAAAAATTACCAATTTAACCTTGTGTATTGTTTGGTTGTTTTCTCATTAAGCCCATGTTTGTTTCCTAACATTTGACATGAATTGATCAATCAACAATAAAAATTAATCTTTTAGTTTGTCCAATCAACTCAATAAATTCTAAAATTAAAAACCCCAAATACAAAAATATATATTTCTTTTGCTAATAGCTAGTTGGCTACCAGTTTGATTTCATAGTAAAAATTATTTTTTACATAAATATACAACTCATTAAAAATTCTCGTTTTCCAAAAAGCAAGAAGAAACATTTACGGAGGATAGAAGTAGATGGCAACAGATTCATGGGTTTGTTTCTTTCTCAACGCCTTCCATAAAAAATTTATGTCACCGCCTTTCACTATTTTTTCTTTGTCGATGACTTCCATCTCCGATCTCGAAGTTGCCTAGAAGGAGACCATAGTCTTCTTTTCTTGTGGTCGTGGATATAAATGATTTTACTGCCATGGTAGGAGGATATTTAGGGGTTATTCGGTACAACAATTGAAAACTTTTCTCGGTTTGATTTTGATTTTGAAAATTTATCAGGGTTCAATTTTCATTTTTCTAGTGTTTTCAGTAGTGGGGTGTAAGGAAGGAGAGAGCTATAAGAGATGAAAAGGCTTTGTTGAATTTTATTAACAACCATGGAGCCTATTTATACACACGTTTACATCTCGTTGAGAGGGAAACAAATCAACCTAATTAAGACTATTAATTAGATTTTTGTTCGAGGGGGTATAACCAAATATATTTTGTAAAATGGTCAACGAAAATGACATAGTATTTAAAATCTTCAAATGAAAGAATAGGGGTCGTCCAAACGTCCGTAAATATTAGTTCTGACGGAGCGGTAAAAGTAAGAGTAGACTTGGAGAAGGGTAGTTTATGACTTTTATAGATATAGATATTGCAAGAATTACAAGTAGACTGAAATAAAGGAAGATTCAATGGCACTTGATTGTGTAGGGTATTAATAATATCAATAGAGGGATGACCCGAACGATGATGCCAATTGGTGGGAGGAATGACCATGCTTGAGTGAACGAAAGGAGGTGATGGGCTCCATTCATAGATGCCCCCCATTAGTTGGCCCTTGAAGGAGGGTGAGGCCTATCGAGCAATCCTTAATACAGAAAGAGGTAGGTAAGAATTCACAAGAGCATTATTTTTCATGTAGAATTGAGAAATATAGAGAATGTTTCCAGATATAGATTGTAGAAATAAAACATTGGAGAATTAAATAATTTATGAGAGTAGAGAGAGAAAGAACCAATATGAGAAATCGGCAGAGAGGAACCATCACCAATGATGAGATAAGAGGCATGTAAAGCTAGGTTGGCGATGTCATTTTTGACATGGTGAGTGACACCGCTGTTCATGAGCCATGAAGATGAAGCGAAATTAGCGAAGGTAGCAACATTAGTTTGAGGAGCCGAGCGAGAGACTCGGGTTGGATTTGGACCGACGAGAGACGTGGGAAAAACTATGTGAAGGAAGAGTTGTTTGAAGACAGAGTATTAAGAAACGACGTGACCCTCATGAAGACACCATTGCCCGAGATAGGTTTTAAGGTGCGGTTGTGGGTGGTGGTGTTTAAGGTAGGAAGGATGCAGGAGGTGGTGGTGTTGCCATTCTTTGCTATGATAAGAAATTGGATGGGAATAAAATTGATCAATGCTCTGATACCATATAAGAGATGAAAAGGCTTTGATGAGTTTTATTAACAACCATGGAGCCTATTTACACACACGTTTACATCTCATTGAGAGGGAAACAAATCAACCTAATTAAGACTATTAAATAGAAAATATTGATAAGAATAGTTATAAACATGTGATTCACGCAAGTTTTCCCCACGACCTGAAGACGAGGCCAAAGTCACTATGTGATTCATGCAACTTTTCCCCACGACCTGAAGACGAGGCCAAAGTCACCCACACACCTTTTTTTGACCGTAAATGAAAAATCACATGTGATTTTGCACGTGATTTGACCGTTTCCGTATTCTCTTAAATAGTTAACATTCTCATTTGATCTCCCTATATATATATATATATATATATATATATATGTATAAAAATTGAGCACTTCATGACAAAGCATATCCATACCTCAAAACTTTAATCTATAACCTTTTTTTATATTTGATTGCTTGATTATATCCTATAA